TGGGTACAGAGATTGTTTCACAAGATGAGAAAGTTCTGGAGATCTAATGTACAACAATGTGCATATAGGTAACTCTACAGAACAGTATACTTAAAAATGGTTAAGATGGTAAATTTTATAATATCTGGTTTTGATCACAATAAAAAAATAACAATGATAGCAATGAAGATAATGACTGTAATAGTTTCTGTAACTAATGGCTTCTGAACATGTGAACGGTCCCAAACACTAGGCTACCTGCTACCAGATATGATCACATTTTATCCTTTCAAAATCCCCATGAGGAGGGACTGTCACCCCTGTTTTACTCATGAGCAAAGTGAGGCTCAGGAAGGTGAAGCAACGTGCCCAGCCACCCTGCTGCTACAAGGCAAAGCAGCAATTTGAGAGCTGTCGGTCTGACTGCAGAGCGGGTTGCAGTGACCGTGACACACACCGCCTGTCTGGAAAGGCAGCACAGCCATAGAATCGGGGAAGGGAACGCAAAAGTTACATTTTCAAGTAACTTCATCTGGGGACAGAGATGAAAATCCACCCAGAGTTTATTACCCTCACAGGCGAGTTTCTCTTCCTCAGTTAATCCAATCAAGGCTGGTCCTTGGCACTTCCAAAAAAATGTCCCATCAGCCAGCCTCTGAGCAGTTTTTGGTCATCGTTTCTGCTATTGTGTGCTTTTACTTCATGGCATTTTGGGGTAAACTTTTATCGAAGTTATATATCTGTATCTATATGGCACATTTGTAAGTGTAGAGCTCACTGAATTTTTACAAACTGATTGCACCCACAGAACCGCACACAAATCAAGAAACAGAACATGGCCACGACCCCAGCAGGTCTCCTTGTAGCCCTCAAGTCATACTGTTCCCTCTAATATCACAGATCAATTTTGTCAAAAGAACTTGTTTTTAGAATTATATGAAATTAACTCTCCGGTTGAGATTTTATAATTGACAGTAAAATAAAGAGATATGGTCAGAACAGAAGGGTGACCGAGAGCTCGTATCTAGACAGATCTGAACTTGAATCCCAGCTCTCTGGCTATGTGCCTTTGTGAAAATAAACTCTTTAAGGCTTACTTTCCTCAGTGGAAGAAGGGGATATAATGGACCTCGGTAGGAATGAATTAAATGCTGTATGTAAACCTAGCATACAGTGTCAATTACTCTCTAGAGCAGCTGTTGGCAAACTATGGCTTCCTGATTTATAAATAAAATTTTATTGGAACAAACACATGCCCATTTACCTACTGTCTATGGCTGCTTTTGTACAATAAGGATGGACTTAAATAGCTGGAGCAGATACAGCAGGTATCTGTTCTTTTACAAAGTCTGCTGATCCCTGCTCTAGTATGTAGGTCACATTCACCATTGTATCCACAGGTACTAAGACATTCAGCACATAGTAAGTTCTCATGCAATGGTTTTTATTTGTATAATGAGTGACAAATAAACACCTACTTCCTTAAGTTATCATTAGTTTGTTTTGCAGTTGAACACACTCCTAAACAAAATTGTAAGGAAGGAATGAAATCATAAATACCAAGCCTGATAAAAACTTGCAAGTCAGTCCAGCAGGTACCTAGGAAGATTAATAGGTTTACAGATCCTAGCAAAAGAGCAACACCCATGGCTAACAGAAAAGGCACTGAACTTGGAGTCAGAGGAACATGGTTAGAATCCCCACTCTGCTAACTGGCAGAGCCAGACATGGAACAATCCCCAGGATCTCAGTGCCCTCATTCCCTGAGTGCAAACCCTGCTACTGATTTCTGGTGTAGAAAGGCGGCCTCAGCTGAGCTGGAACAGGACAAGAGTGGAATGAGGGAAGCCCTTAAAGCTTGCAGTGATTCAGGCAGGCACTTAGCGGGGTTGTTAGAAATAATGAGATAACATATGTCTTCGGGTGTTTTGAGAATCATTATTTTAACCTAAAATAAGCCCTATGAAACAATGTTCCATAAACTTGCTGTGCTGTAATTATGTGCTCCCTTGACTCTCTCACTAAGCTGTACACTCCTAATGAATGGGAGCCGTAGCTGCTTCTTGCTGTCACTTTATTTCACCTTTGTCCACAGTGTGAAGTGTGATGCCTGACAATACAATGTATGCACAAAATACTCGTTAAAAGAATCAATTAATATGGAACTAGATTTGACAGGTCTGTGGCCATATGGTAGACAAGAGAAAAAGGGACCGGGAATCAGGGAGGCTAAGATTTAATGTAGGGACTAGAAAATGACAGTGTGTTTGGAAGTGGGAATTAGTCAGGAAAACACAATTTGCCCTCATTGTTAGGCACACAACATCAGTGTTAGGCGCACGACATCAGTGTTAGGTGCACGACATCAGTGTTAGGCGCATGGCATCAATGTTAGGCGCATGGCATCAATGTTAGGCACATGATATCATTGTTAGGTGCATGACATCAACGTTATGTGCATGACATCGTTATTAGGTACATGGCATCAATGTTAGATGAATGACATCAGTGTTAGGTCATGACATCATTATTAGGTACATGGCATCAATGTTAAGAGAATGACATCAGTGTTAGGCACATGACATCACTGTTGGGTGCATGACATCACATTATTAAGTACATGGCATCCATGTTAGTCTAAGGACATCATTGTTAAGTGCATGATGGATCGACTTAATCGCCACTGCTATGAGCAAGGTTTGGGGGAGGAGCTAGCGAGTCCCCTCCTGCCTGCTCCTTCCTTGGAATATTCTCTTACCTTCTCTTAGGCTCCCTCCAATGCCATGCACCACCTGGGCCCCTTCCCTTCACACTCCACGCTCTCATCCAGTTTCAGAGCTTCAACAGATATTCAAATTAATCGTATGACCCTTGACTTTGAATTTCCTCTCAGATCACTTTCCTGTGCTCCAGGCGACACACCTGGAACTGCCCACTGGACATCTCCCCTGGAATGCCCGCTGATGCCCCAACTCCTTGTGTCTGGAATGGACTCATGATCTTCACCCCTGAGGCTTGTCTCCTCCAGGGATGGGCACTAGTGTCCACCCAGGTGACAAAGCTGGGAAACCAAGCCATTCTGCACCCGCTCTCCCTCACAAGTCCGTCCATTCAGCCACTCCCCCCACAGCACCCCAAATCTCTTGAAGCCACCCACCTCCCTCCAGCCCCCAACTCCCCACTAGTTCCAGCCAGCCTGGCCTCCTGCCTGAATCACTGCCAACTCCTAACGGCTTTCCTGATCCCAGCTTGTCCTAGTCCAACCCGGTTACAGCTGTCTTCCTAAACCAGAAACCAGATCGTATCGCAGTCCCTTTAAAACACAGGCACAGCTCCCAAACACGCTGGCTCGGTGCAGAGCTGTGCCGTCCATTACAGCAGCCCCAGCCGCGTGTGACTGCTGAGCAATGAAGTCCGGCTAGTCTGAACGGAGAGGGCTGACGTGCCAAATACGCAGCAGACTTGAAGACTCAGCATGCAAATATCTTACTCATAGTTTTGCACTGATTTTGTGTTGAAAGGATAATGTTTTTGGACATATAAAGTTAAGCAAAAAATATTTTTAAATTAGTTTTACCTGTTTTTTTAAAAACCTTTTTTTAAAAACATAACTGCTAGAAAGTTAAAATTACGTATGTGGCTCATGTTATATTTCTACTGGACACGGATGTCTAGAAAGCCCTTCCCCATCTGGCTCCCTGCCCACCTTCCAACCTTCTACCTCTGCCTTCGCCATGGCCCTCCCCTTCTCACCCCTCCACACTGGCCTTATTTGCAGGTTCCTGAATAGCCAACATGCTTTCTGGTCTTTGTACACGGGGTGCCCCTTTTCCCTGGAACGTTCTTTCTATTAAGTCAATTCCTACTGGTGTCCCAGGACTCAGTTTTGCAGTATCTGGGAAGGATTTCTGAACATAGATGTTGTTTGTTGTGGCTGGCTGGTTAGCTCGGTTGGTTAGAGTGTGGTGCTGTTAACACCAAGGTCTGGGGCTCGATCTCTGTACTGGCCAGCCACCAAAAAAATTTTAAATATTGTTTGTTTTTTCCTCCCCCCCAACAGCCCCTTGCTCCAGTGGGGCACCCATCACATACCCTGTACTGGCCTCTGACTCAAGCCTGACTCCCCACTGGGTTATAAACTCCCTGCGTCTTACTCATTACTGGATCTCAGTGCAGTGATTAGTAGACATTCCGGGAACTCAGCACATACAGAATGACAGAATAAAAAGAAACACAGCCAATGAATGTACAGACTTAAAAGGTGACTAATAAAAGGTAGACTTGGATACAGCCTTAAGAAAGTGCCATCAACCAAAAGAGATAGAAGTACTAGGAAGTGATGACCTCGTTTTGGGTTCAAAATGGTGAAAGGTTTTTTAATAACACTCTGACATATTTAACAATTTTAAAATGGTTGGACCTGTTGATTGGGCAATTTCATGGCTTTGAATTGGAACTACTGAAACACTTGGCCATGAGTGTAAACACAAACGTACTAGTATGTTCACTGTGGCATCATTTGTAATAACAGAAATATGAAAACAACCAAAGTATTCCATCATTTACAATGAAGGTTGTAAATGATACATATCCCTCCAGTGGAAGAGCACGCAGCTCTGAAAAAAAGGAAGCAGATTTCTCTTTTGTGGGGGAAGGAAAGTATAGGACACTGGATATTGTTTCCTCACATTGTGTATTTCCAAGATACATGTTTGCACTTATGCACACACAGACTTTCACTGGAAACACACACCAGAATATGTGTGCTCACAAGGTAATGGTGGTTCCTAGAGGAGAGGTGGGGGACAGGGTGAGAGGAGGACGTCCTTCACTGCATAGCCTCTTGGAACTTGTTAATCCTATGCATTAATTACTTTTATTATAAAAAAAAAATTACCAAGGGCTGTCTGGGTGCTTTTTTCCTCTATTTATTTCTGTATGGCCAAGGAAAGGTACTGAAGATTCCCCCTCCCAAGATGAACAGACAGTAAAATAGCAACATTAATCCTGCCATCACCTACCGTGATCTTTTTGTGATCAGGAAACTCCAGGCCAAAATAGTCGCCTTCCACAAGGTTGAGGTGGTTGCAAACTGCATCTAGCAGCACTTTTCCTGGAGCCCTTTGCTGTGAACAGAAACAAAAGGTTTTATGCCCTCTGAGACACACAGGGATGAACCCACAGCTCCTCCCCACAGGAAACCTCTCAATTCCCGCGTCCTTTACAGCTGGCCACCGCCCACCTCCTCGACACCCTGAACACTTGCCCCATTCACACCTCTGCACCCTGCTCCTGCTGTCCCAAACCTAGATATGAATCTCTGCCATTTTCTCCCCACCCCAATCCTGGGTGCCCCCCCCCTTAAAGTAATAGACTTTATTTTTTAGACAGCTTTTAAGTTTACAAAAGGTTAAGCGGAAAATACGAAGAGTTCCCATGTATCTCTCCCTCCCACACCCAGAGCGTGCTCCACCTAGTCAACCCTCCCTCCTCCCACTGCCTGGCAACCGCCGCGCTACCCACTGTCTCCATGGTGTTGCCTTTCCCAGAATGGCACATAGCTGGAATCATAAAGTATGTAAGCTTTTCAGACTGGCTTCTTTCATTTAGTAATATGCATTTAAGATTCCTCCGTGTATTTTTATGGCTTAATAGCTCACTTCTTTTCATTGCTGAATAATATTTCATTGTCTGGATGTACCATAAATGCACCACTTTGGTAGAGCAATCCACCGTTCCCAACATACTTCGTGCATGTGAGCATTCCCCAGAAAGGCTAAAAACTATTTCATTTTTATTGCTGAATAATATTTCATTGTTTATCTATTTACCTATTAAATGACATGTTGGTTGCTTCCAAGTTTTTAAGAATAAAGCAATTATGAATGAAGCTACTATAAATATTAGCACGCTGTTTTGTGTGGACATAAGTTTTCAACTCATGACCCCAAGCTTTTTTGTGTCTCTGTGTCTCTCTCCTCCTCCAGAAGTATGACAGCATTTACGGCTTTCTTCTCTAGGTTCCTACAGCACTTTGTTCAGATTCTCATCGAGACCATACCCACATTGAAGGTATATTCATCCCTGTATCCACAATGCCTAAAAACTGACCAATTCTGCTGATATGACTGAATGAACCAATGGATAAAGTTACCCATTCACTGTATTATATATAATTAAGCATCTACGAGTCCGTGTCCCCAATTGATTTGGGGCTATTTATCTTTATATTCCTATTGCCTAACAAAGCACCTGGTACTCAATCAATGTCTGTTGAAATCAATACTACTCACGTATTTTCTAGACACTGAATCTATGGGGAAAGGGAACATTATATATAAAAACCCAACTTCTGCCCTACAGAGCTTAGAATCACATGCCTCAATTTCTCTTCACTATTTGGTAGATGCCTAATGAACCAGTAGTAGCATGGATCAAACTCTGCCATATAGATCAAACCCTGGAAGAAAAATGTTTCAGTGACATTGCCATCTACACTATTATGGATTCAATTGTGTCCCCCCAAAGTTCAATGTGTTGGAGGCTTGGTCCCCACTGTGAAAGTGTTGAGAGGGTGAGAGATCCTATTATGGTAACTGAAAGGTGGGGCCTTGAAGAGGTGATTGGATTGTAGGACCAGGCCATAGTGAATGGATTATAACAGTGGTCAGGGGCGTGGTTCTGAGGGCTTCAAAAGAAGATCACATGAGAAGTCTGCTCTCTCTGCTTTGCCCTTTTCTGCCATGTGAGACTCCTGGGTCACTGTCACCACCACCAAGACCCTCACAGATGTGTTCCCTGGACTTTGGGCTTCCAGTCTCTGAAACTGTAAGCAATAAATTTCATTTCTTTATAAATTACCCAGTTCCAAGAATTTTGTTGTAAGCAACGGAAATGGACTCATACATACACTTACTGCTTTTATACTTCCACCTCCCTCCTGATAAGAGCAGAGCATTCGGGAACCAGTTAGTGACCCAGGAGACTGACTGACAGTAAGAGTTGAAGCCTGGGGAGCACGCCGATGGGCATGTCATTAGCCCATCCCAGCATGACCTGTAGAGCCAATAAATATGCCTGAGTGGCACGAAGATATTCACAGCTACCTGAAGGTGTGCATATTTCTCCATGGAAAAATCCCAAACTCACCAGGCACTAGACCTTGAACGCCTGTCCAAGGTCACTGGTGGAGTTACTGCACTTGCATTGATGGCAGGAGTGACATGTGATTATGTGTAACCCGCATGCTTCCCTGCCAAACTCCCTCCCACCTCCACACACACTTACCCAGAGGAAGAGACTTAAGAGAGCAGCAGAGATTACTAGTCACCAGTCTTATTTTCCACCACTTTGGTACAGCAATCCACTCTGCTTCCGACATACTTCCTGCATGTGGGCATTCCCCAGAGAGGCTAAAGTAGGGGGACAAGGAGCTGCTCTGTACCAGTCCCTGGTCCCAGGTTCAGGTTCACACACCAGCCCCCAAAGAGCAACATGGTTAACTTATGCTAGTTATTCTGGATCCTCTCACTCTAGTAAAATCCGTGGACATTACTAAGAACATTACGAACATGGGCCAGGGGATAAACAGTTGTGGAAGACTTCCTGTATTTGTAACATTTTTTAAGGGAAGACCTCACTCCAGTTTCACAATCCTTCTTTCTCACAATTCTTGACACTTCCTATTTGTGACAAAAACAAGCTACCAGTGATCTAACCAGCTGGCAGGCACTCATGCCTCCCAGAGAATTCCTGGAACTAAGGGAATTTGATAACTTCATCTAGATTTACAGAGCCTGGGAAAGGAAACTTCACAATTCAACACTGGAAATCTGAACAAATGAAAAAAATTGATATACAATGGATGTCTTTATGCACGTGGTGTTAAACTGAGCACTTTACAGGAGAGGAGAGTTAATGACTAACCAGGGTCCTCTGCTGAGTCAGCAGAGATTTTGTGAACGCCCTGAACATATCTTGGTAATGACACGGGGCTGGGTTGAGTCCTGGAACCTGCGGCCTTCCCTTGGCATTTCAAACACTCATGTGCTCCCAGAGACAAGGGCAGCAAATGACTGATGAACTTCCTACAGAGCAATAGGTTTGAAATAGATGCTTGGAATCTAGCTAATAAATAAGTCTGATCTCAATTTTTAGTTATTTCTTTAAAATTTATTATTTTGTACAAATGTTTACAGAAAATGACTTTTCTAAACTGTACTAAAGTTTTGGGTTTTTTTTAATAGGGAGACATCTACTCATGGTTTGAATGATATCATTATAACTCCTAAAATTCATCTATAAAATAGATACCTTTAACTCATTACATGAATTCCTGTGTAAATGTTGGCTACAATCAGTGATATAAGGAAACCCAGTATATAGTATGACTAGGAAGTATTTATAAGGACTTAAATGCACCCACTACATGGCAATTTCAGGGGTAAATGACATTACAGTGAGCTCCATGGACTTAGCATTAACATCCCAATGTGTCCTGGAAAGCTGCAGCCTAAACTGCGTCCAGACATCATGATACCATGACGCATTCGGGGACCCCATTTTCTTTTCTTTTAGGAATTGGTATAGAACTGTCTGGGTGTATCAATGCACCCAAGGCTAAATTCTGTTTCAGAGAAAGCAACTCAGAAAAGGGAGGCTCAGAAAGTTTCCTCCTCATTCTGTAAGAAAAATTCTTCCTTTCTCCATACAGTAGATTTACTCCATCAGTCTGCAGCATATTTTCTGTGTACTTGTCTCCAACGTGTTTTCGAACTTCACTCTGAAAGTAACTCTTCCAAATCACATCACAGGATGTAAAATGTTTTTGAGTTTCTCAAAAAACTACAAATAGAATCATTACATCACCCAGCAGTTCCACACCTCTTGGTATGTATCCAAAAGAACCGAAAGCAGGTCTTGGAGATACCTGTCCACCCACGTTCATAGCAGCACTAGTCGTCACAACAGCCAAAAGCTGGAAGCAACCCAAGAGTTCATCGACAGATGGCTTGATAAACAAAACGTGGTACAGACATACAAGGGACCACTATTCAGCCTTAAAAAGGAAGGAAATTCTGAGCATCACGGATGAACCTTGAGGGTGTTGTGCTAAGTGAAATAGCCAGTCACAAAAGGACAAATACTATATGTTCTACTAAAATGAAGTGCGGAGAGTAGTCGAATTCATAGAGACAGAACGTGGAATGGTGGCTCCCAGGGGTGGGGAGGAGGGAGAGTGGGGAGTTAGTGACTAATGGGGACAGAGTGCCAGTTTTGCACAAAGAAAAGAATTCTGGAAATGGACACTGGCGACGGTTGCACAGCAGTGTGGACGGACGGACGGAACGCCACTGACTGTACACTTACAGTGGCTCAAATGGTACATTTTATGTTATGCATATTTTACTACAGGAACAAAATGCAGAAGAGGAGGGAAAAGTATCCAAGGAACAGAGCTCACATCTATAAACATCTGGAGACGGGGACTTGCAGGACAACCTGTTAACTCTACTTTTAACAAGAAAATAAAGAATCCATCTCTTTACATTAGACCTTAGAAAAATATTGAGGGTAAGACCTTATCACATGGGGAGAATAAGTGAATATCTGTGTGCACACACTAAATAGTTGCTAATATTCCTTTCCACAAAGAACTCTTTTATATGTCTGGCCAAAAAAAAAAAAAAAAAAAAGGCATAAAACGAACATCTTTGGAAGTAACCACAAATTATGCATTTGGGGCAGGCTTTGCACTGAAAGCCAATGATGGGACTCAAAAGCTACAAATCCACTAGACCTTTACTGCTTAAAACAAAAACTAAACAATAAAAAAAAAACCTGTACACAAGTCAATAAAATTTAAGGGAGAAAAAAAGGTAGCAGCAGCATTAAGATTAATAGATTAAGCTGGTAGAACACAGAGAAGAGACCTGGAGGAAAATTCATCTGCAAAAGTATTTTCTCAAAACACACACACACACACACACACACACACACACACACTCTCTCTCTCTCTCTCTCTCTCTCTCTCTCTCTCTCTCACTCGCTTAGGGATGTTCAAACTATCATACATGACGAGGGGAAACCAAGTTATCTAGGCATCATTTGAAAACCTGTTAGTAAC